CGCTGCCTGTGGTATTGTTGTTGTTGTTATTGTTATTATTATTAATGTTACTTTGAATACTGTTGTTATTATTACAAATAACATTGTTGTTGTTGCTGCCGTACGCGCTCTCGGGGCTACCTATATCCTGGCACGGAGATGCTGTGACGGACCGGTCAACCACGTCGTGGTCAGCTCGACAGAAAATACCGTCCTCCCGAATGGCGAATTCATCGCCGGTGACCAGTGGTTTGTTGCAGACGATGCAACGGAAGCAGTTGAGGTGATACACCGTGCTCTTAGTTGGTCTCATCACCACGTCTTCCCGACAAAAGCCAAGTCCGCACCGGGAACACTTGGTGCCGAACAATCTGGAAAAAGCAATTCATTAACAGTTAAGTTAAACGTGTGGAAATGGTACGGCGTTAAACAAAGGGAAAAAATGCAATTAGGACTTAAGTTAACCATGTGTAGTCAATAGGGGGACCAAACTTATGGATTAGGCACTAACCATTTTAGTTCCGGTTCATATAGGGAAGAAATATGTTAACTAATATGGTGTCCAACATATGCAATAGGCAATAAGTGAAAGTCAGAAACTAGTTTGTTACCGAACATATGGAATAGGCAACAGTTGAACTTATGTTACTAAAAGGATTCCACACATAAGTATGGACCAGGCAATCATCAGTTCAGTTAAACACGTGTGGCTAATAGGGTGTCAAACATATGGAACAGGCAGACAAGAACTTTGTTAAACATGTGTTATTAAACATTGTGTCGAATATATGGACCAAGCAATCAACTGTTCAGTTAAACATTTGTGCCCAATATAGTCCCGAACATATGGACCAGGCAGTCAACTGTTCAGTTAAACAATTTGTGACCAATTCAGTCCCGAACAAATGGACCGAGCAATCAACTGTTCAGTGAAACATGTTGTGACCAATATAGTCCCGAATATATGGACCGAGCAATCAACGGCTAAGTTACCAGACAATCAACAGTTTATTTATAACATGTGAGATTAACATGCTGTCGGAACATATGCGACAGACAATAACTAACTTGTGTAACCCAAAGGATAACGAACATATGCATTTTAAAGTTAGTGAATGCGTTTGAAGTTTCATGATTCCCCAGAAATATGGTTCCATTTCCCACCTGGGCCCTTTATTTATTTATTTACTTGTTACGTTGATCCCTTTTTTTTTTTTTTTTTTTGTGGTTTTTAAACAGCAAGCAGTAGGAGAGTCGCAAAGTGGAAGAGGTTAGGGCCTCACAAAGTGCTATCCCCAAAGAAATCAGTAGGTTCACTGTAGCGAACTTTATCTATGGAAACATCACATCATTTATTTTTGTAATGATCACCTTGCACAAGTTACACGTTGAGCCTACTACAGCCGTAACTGACTGCCCCACTTAGAGAAGATATACACATTTCCTGAGAAGCTACACAAGTTTCATGAGAAGATACACAAGTTTCATGAGAAGATACACAAGTTGCGTCAGCTAACATTGTCACTGGAAACTGTTTTCTATTGAAATATGAAAACTTGCTCACAGAAAACTACGTCTGTTTGCGGTGATAAAAAGAGCACACCGACCAAGTCTAGACCCCTGCTCAAATGGCAGCTTTTAACAGTTGCTGCAGCACTCGAAGAGAGAGAGAGAGAGAAGATCTAGTGAGCTGGCTGCTCATTAGTCGTGGTAAAAAAAAGCGCCGAGGCATCTCAGGTTGCATGTCATACTGTGTGGGGTCGCCTCTTCTCTGACAGGACCACCTCAAATTCTAGCAACTAACAATGTATATCTAATACCGAGTTAATTTGTTTCCGAAAGGGGTTAAACCAAAGTAATTTCCTGATACAACTCGCTTTCCTCGACTCCCAGATAGTCAGTGTAGGGAAGTTGGTGTCTAGAGAAACAAAGATCAACTATTTGTGGCAGAGCTTCGGTAGGTTTCACCAGTCATCGGGGTAGCTATATGGTACTTAACACGATGTATCTATTACGGTCAGTTGCTTGTTTCAGAATTATTGTTAAGCATTCATTGACTTAATTACTTCAGTATGTCTGAACGCTGTAAATTCTTGTCCATTCATTTGGAAAGGTTTTCTTGAGTAGAAAGTGGGAAGGGGAGGAGGGGGGGGGGGAGAATATGGTTTGAGACTGGGGGTGGAGATATCCTTTATGGAGTAGATTAGACTATAATTATCGTACAATGATGTATAATTACATCATTTTCCAGCAATTTGGACCAAGAATTAGATGTCGATCATGTGTTTTATGTTTGAGCTGCCTGATGTTTTACTGCAAAATGTAGGTGCGGATTGAGGTCAAAAAGGGCAAAATGTTAAGACACTCCAGCGTGTCAGTTCTTAACCCTTTGTAAATGCTCGCTCGTTCGTTCATTTGTTCCTCGTTTGTTGATCGGTCATTTGTTCATCCATTCATTATTCTTTCCCTGTAGAAATCATCTATTCATCATCAACTCGTACTTCTTTCCATCTGTCTCGTCTACCGATACATTTATTCCCCTATCCACTCAATCGCCCAGAAATCTACGCCCCTTCATCCTGCCCCTCTCCACCTGTTCGTCTCTATGTTGTTCCTTTCCATTTGAACGTCCTCCTATCCGTCTGTCTGTCGTTTTCAAGACCTATCCACCCATTACACCCCCCCCCCCCCCAAACCACAATCCATACAACCACCCAATTATCAATCCACCCACAAATCAATCCATTTATTCAGCCCTTCTCAAGACATCTCCAGGCCTGAACCCTGTGAAGGTACCTCCCCCCCCCCCCCCACCCCCTCCCAAACCCATGCCAGCCCGTACTAACGCTGTAGGACACTAACAACCCGGCCACACACTCGGCCGGCTGATGTTTTTCTTTGGCCCAGCACCGTGCTCCCGAGACCATGTTGACAACACTGCTCCCGCGGGCGATAGATCTGGCAGTTGCTGCTGTTGCTAAAGAAGCAGACTGTTTTGGCATGGCTTTGGCATGTTGATCAAACTTAAACAGACATTGCCCTAGATGACTGCCTGTGAGCGCAGGAATAGGCCTGTGAGGGTTTGACGGAAACCAGAATGGCGGATAAAATTTGAAATATAAGTTTCTTCTGCTTAAAGTTCACCTGCTTTAAATTTGGTGGAAAGTTCTGGTTGTTCGTCCACCCCTGGCCTCTAGTCTTGCTCCAGAACCTGAGTTTTGGGTGCATGTTCATTTTACAGATCTCTGGGTTTTTTTATATGCAGATTTTTGGTTTCTTGCCTCTCAGACAGATGATCTCCGACTTCGAAGGAAGCTCCCAGCTAGTCGTATCTGGGACCCCGAAAATATACGTTTGAAGAATCGACTTAATAGCACCAAGTTTTATGCCATGCTGATCAGTCTCACCTCATAGAACGGCAAGCCTCCTTTGATTCGCACAATGTACGAGATCTGTAGCTCCAGTAACAATTCCATTGGATTTTACTAACAATTAGACTTACGTACCGAATAACGGTGTCAGGGAAACAAATTCAGGACTTTCAAAACGGGACGTACAAGTCTTAACCAATAGGTCACTGAGATCAGGGAGGGTCGCATTGGGTAGTGTGGATGTAGCGTGAACACTGAAGTGAAGAAAACTACAGAAGAACACTAGGAGAAAGAACAACAGAAATATAGAAACGAGATGGACAAAAGAACGTGCAGAGTAAAAGACATAAGAAAGAAAGAAACAAAAAGAAAGAAAGAAAGAAAGAAAGAAAAAAAAGAAAGAAAGAAAGAAAGAAAGAAAGAAAGAAAGAAAGAAAGAAAGAAAGAAAGAAAGAAAGAAAGAAAGAAAGAAAGAAAGAAAGAAAGAAAGAAAGAAAGAAAGAAAGAAAGAAAGAAAGAAAGAAAGAAAGAAAGAAAGAAAGAAAGAAGAGAACAGACAGGCAAACGGACAGACAGACAGACAGACAGACAGACAGACAGACAGACAGACAGACAGACAGACAGACAGACAGACAGACAGACAGACAGACAGACAGACAGACAGACAGACAGACAGACAGACAGACGCAACTGATGCCCAGTACTGAGTCACCCGATTATGTTTCCAGTAGTTGGGACCTGTACGTTGCGAACGTGACGTCACACGACCAACAAACGCAGCCCAGGGGAAATCACTCTAAAAGTCGAAAACAGACCGGCCATTATATCACGTGATCTAACAATGATATCGACAATTATTATTCAGTCGAGGAAGAAAATAAAGATTCCATTTTGTATGCATTGTGGGGCGTTCTGGCAAATTTGCCCTATTTATTATTTAAAAGCTCGTTGGCTGCGAGGCAAATGAATGGCGATCGAGGATTCTGATTACACTATGGTGAGCTACTATACTGACGTCAGTTTTTAGTTCCGGTGCTCTGACGATGCAGGGTATTGTTTTGTTCTGCATGTTGTCGTTACCGCTAGGCTTTTTTCTTTTTTTCTTTTTTAAATAACAGGCTTTTGTTATCACGAAAGTAGACTAGTTCGTGTGGTAAAGAACTGAATGGTTTTAGTTAGGCGTTGTCATTACCGCTAGGCTTTTCGAAAAATCAATTTTATTAGGGACAACTGTAGTTCATTTGAGAACTGGAAAGATGGAGTTAAATGTTGTCGTTACTGTCAGGCTGTTCAATAACATGCTTTTGTTACGGCAACAGTAGACTCGTTTCTATGATCAATATTGAAGTCTATAGTTTGCCTACTGTTATTAGAGCTAGGATTTTGCACGACGCTGTTTTGTTAATGACAAAGTGAGCCATTCTGTGTATAATCGTAATCAAGGTGTTTTTATTTTTTTATTTTTTTATAATAGATTTAAAGATGAATCCTGGACGATTTCTCTTGAAGTGGGTGTCTGTATTTGTTCTTTGACTTTTATTGTACATCTAGGCACAACTTTTTTTTTTTTTTTTTTTTTGAATGTCCCTATTACTTCTCTCTTCCCATTATTCAAACTGAGGCCCCATTTTATCACTGTCTACCGCCACCGTATCTATTAATTTAGTTGTTTCTGACTTGTCGCTATCAATATGGTGTCATCAGCATAACGCAAGCTGTTTTTGTTTTGACAACCAAACACAATTTCTATTCAAATTTGCATTCAGTATTTTGCCATTGATGACTTAACGGTCGTCTCTCGGTAACACTGTCGAAACCATCGCAAGACAGACCATTCGCAGCTGGGATCGAACCCGGCGTTACGAAGCGCATTGATCGCCTAAATTACAGACGGTGACTATGCATGATAGATCTCATTATATATTGACTGTACAATGAAGACGAATCAGGTGATAGTACACATCCTTGTCTAGGTAACAGAGTATAGGTCACGTTGTTATTTGGTGTGTTGCGAACTTGAACATTGCGACGGCTGTTACGGATGTAGGAAGGGGCGCTTATGGAAATGTCCCTAGTACAATAATTTTGGTCGTCAGCTCAACTCAAGTTTTTTTTTTTCCTATCTTTTCCAAGCCGAAACCTAATTTTTTAAAAATGCTTACTGTCAACATGACGAAGACTTTTTAGGACAGGGAAATGTCTAACAACCACAGGGCAGTTGGTAATATATACTAGTAGCTTGTTAAAACTTCTGTCTGTGAGTACTACTCCCAAAGTTTTTTCCTATGACTCAGGGAGACTAGAGGTCTGAAATGCTGTGGACTTTCGTAATTTGGATGAGGACCTTTCAACTCGCGTTAAGTGAATTCTAATCCGGCAGTTTCTGCAGTGTGATTTGTTCCCAGGTGTACTGGTGTCACCTTTCCTTTGGAGTGAACAGAGCGAGAGGTCATGGACACCACATGGTCTCTAAAAAACTGCCCAGGCTTTAAGCTATGAAACATGCAGGGCGTCTTGCTAGTCACACTTGCCATCCACGTGGCGAGGAAGAGTGGATGCTTCAAGTGCCTCTTCACAGCACAATGTAATACTTTTATCTGAGGGGGGGGGGGCGGAAAGGTACCAATCAGTCTGGTATTAGGACATTAGGGCGCTGTGCTGATAAAGTGCTTACCTGACATAATCTCGCTTGCAATAAGTTTTTCCGTCACGTACGAAACAAGTGCACGACTCGTCCAGGTACTGCTCACAGTCGGCACACTTGAGGCAGGCGGCGTGCCAGCAGAGGTCAGGTGACACCTGCATGATGTATTGGTCGGTGATCTGTGACCCACAGCCTACACACACGGACAGGTTGCGTCTCTCTGTGGTGGAACAATGCATAACTGTTTATAACACGTATAGGTTTAGGTTTTGACTATGGATCAACATCATGCACAAGGATAATAACTCATAAGTGCTCTGTTCTACTTCTGACTCAAGCCTGAGGCCGAAGCATCTCAGCGCAGTGCACGAACTTTGTAGTACCTGCGAGGATCCTGAAATACTTGGGGTAGATTTGCCCTGGCAGCGCCATTAGGCTACTTTTTTTTTTAAATTCCAACCTGCCAAGGGATTTTTTTTATGAGTCCAGCAATACACATGGCCGTCCGATCTTACTACCCAGAGACCAGGGAAAATTACTAGAAGTCCACGTGAACAAATCTCAGCCTTTACCGGGGCTCGAACCAAGGACCTGCAGCACTCGAGGAGGGCGCAGACCCCCCCCCCCCCCCCTTTATAACATGTATACCATAGGAATAAATGGAGCCGCCGTGGTTTAGCGGCTAGAAGCTAGCGTACTGATCCGATGGTCGTTGATTCAGGTCGTGACAGAGCCGGACTTTGTCCAAAAATGGCATTGGCTGCAAGTCATCCGAGCCATAAATGGATGCCAGGTAGAGTCCTGCAAAGTAAAGATGGCAGGCTCATGTTGATCCCATCACCCACTGAGTGCCGTCTGATCTATAAAATGTAAGTCTAGCCCTACATGCCCAATACGCCCGAAGTTGTGATAAAGGTCCTATACTTTTTTTTTTTTTAATTTCACACACGCACATATACGTGCGTGTGTCAGAGAGATAGAGAGTGTGTATGTGTTTGTGTGTGAAACCGACTAGTTGCATTTGGGCTGATTACGATATTTGCTCCTCCCATTCTCCACACATCCGATCCCTTTCCAGCATTGCCTCCTCTAACCTTTTCCCCACCCTTTCCGAGACAAGGTGTGTTAAGGTCTCTTACGTCCTGTTCACATTTATGTATGTATTTAAATCATAGTTCAACATGACTTAACTACCACTGCAGTATTGGTACTAAAGCTGGAGCTTGCTAGAGAGGCTTTCCAGGTTCAGATATCAAGCCGCCTGCCCAGGAAGTCACCTCTGAGCTCCAGCGAACTTCGGCAGTGACCGCTCCAAGGAAGAAAATCCATGACAAAAACTATTACACCCTTTGATATTCAAAGACGGACATTTCCATCGGCCTAGAGTAATAACGTTCTTTTCTGTCGTCCACATTGTGCCCGCTAGGCGTCGCAGGTTAACAGATGATCGGTATCCGAGCTAGGGTACACTCGGTTGCTCGGTATACTGTGATGTTGTGGAATCTCTAGGTATCAGTGATTTCTTCCATCCATATTCTTTTTGGTCGTCCCCTGCATCTTTATGTTTCAACTTTCGTGTTGTATGCTCTCGTTTAAGTTATCACTAGATTCATTCTAATTAAATGACCGAATCATTCCGGTCTTTGTTTTTGACTGAATTTAATTTCAAGTTTTGTTCCAACAGTTCTAACAATTGTAAAAGCAATAAAACGCGTAAAATAAATCCAGACGCGGGTTAACTTCTATATAAACTCATTTTAAACTTTACAAAAAAAAAAATGCATGCTTTTTTATTGCAAGCCCTGATGCTAAAAGAGGAAAAGGTGGGATGTAAATGGAGGAGAAGTTGGGATGAAGACAGAGGAGAAATTCAGGACCATTAGTGGTTCCACATTTAGCAAATGGATTGTGACTGCCCGTGACAAGAGGTCTGGTAACGGTGAACGAATCTGAGCTGGGCGGAGAAACATGAATTCTCACTTAGAGGCACACCGAAGATCGATTCCTGTACATGGCTGGATCCATAGCAGAACTGTTATAGCTACTGTAAAACTTCATTCATTGCGCATAGTCTGACAGTTGCCTTTTAAGTTTCAGTACTGTAAGACTGCGTTTGGTAAATAATCTGGTACTAACCAAATTTAACGTAAACTTCATGTGAATTGTCGCTAAAATTTGAAGTGCATGTGTTTTTCTAACAATTTATATCTGTAAGCAAAAATTTTAAGGTTTGGTTTGAACAAAGGATAAAAATCATGGCACAAGAGTAGTTAACTTACTGGTACTCCGTTCTACCTTAACTTAAGCCTGAGTCCTAAGAATCTCAGCGCAGTGTACGAACTCCGTAGCACCGGCGAGGATACTGAAATACTTTTGGTAGATTTTTAACTCGAACTTTTGCCCGGAAAGACCCATTAGACGACTCTTTTCGATTTCCAACTGCTAGGGAATCTTTTACGTGCGCAGCAATACGAACGAGCGTCCGATCTTACTACCCAGAGAGCAGGGGAAATCACTAGAAGTTCACGTGAAAAAATCCCAGCCTTTACCGGTGCTTGAACCCAAGATCTCTAGCATTCGAGGCGGACGCGATGCCTCGAGACCACTCAGCCCCCAAACATTTTAAGTTAATAACACTGTGTCTTGGTGAACGTCTTGAAAACTGGCTTGTAAATCTATGATCGATGTATTCTGTGCCCAATGTATGACTTTCTTGAAGTTCGGCTTTTGTTGTATGTAAGATGCATGATTTTCTTGAAAACCGGTTTTTACTCTATGTAAGATGCATGATTTTCTTGAAAACCGGTTTTCACTTTATGTCTGATGCATGAAATTCTTGAAAATCGGCTCTTACTAGTCGGCGTATATGGCTTAGGCGTTGCGAAAGTGCTTTATAATGCCGGGATCCCGGGTTCGATCCCAACTGTGGACGATTTGTCTTGCCTTGGTTTCGACAGCGGTACCAAGAGCTGACCGCTCAGTAAACAATGTCAAACTACGGAACGTAACATTTGCCTAGAAAGACCATAAGTAAAAAAAGTAAGTAAAGATCCCTTTCCACGCCTTTAGGCGTATCGGGCATATGGGAAGAGCGCCCATATTTTGTACAGACCAATCGGCACTCGGTGGGTAATGTGGTCAGCATTACGCCGGCTGTCTTTACTTTCCCAGGACAGCCCATCCTAGTACCCATTTTTGGCTGGGTCGACCTGCGACGCCCCGTACCATGATCAAAATCCACGCAGCCTGCAATGGGTTTTTATCACCGTACGCTGGATTACGAGTCGGACTTGCAACGCCTAAGCCTTGGACGCCGCTAGAAAGACCATAACAGCCATCAAATGCTTGTGTTGGTTCTGCAACGTCTTGTACAGAATATGCAACAGACTTTTTTTTCCCCAAACGATGCATAATTTCTTGAAAATCGGCTTTCACTCAATGTACGATGTATGATTTTCTTGAAAACCGGCTTTTACTCTATGTACGATGTATGATTTTCTTGAAAACCGGCTTTTACTCTATGTACGATGTGTGATTTTCTTAAAAACCGGCTTTCACTCTATGTACGATGTATGATTTTCTTGAAAACCGGCTTTTACTCTATGTACGATGTGTGATTTTCTTGAAAACCGGCTTTTACTCTATGTACGATGTATGATTTTCTTAAAGACCAGCTCTTAACTCTAAGCTCCACGTATGCTTCTCTCGTAGACCGGCTTTAGCTCTAAGCCCCATGTACATTTCTCTCGAAGACGGGCTCTATGTCCGGTTTGTGGTTTTCCTATAGACTGGCTTGTAACTCTATGCCCCATGTATTTTTTTTTAAAATGTAGATCTATGTCCTGTGCATGATTTTCTTGAAGACTGGCCTGCAACTCTATGCCTGATGCGTGGTTTTCATGTAGACCGGCTGGTAGATCTATATCCTGTGTATGGTTTTCTCGAAGACCGCCATGTAACTCTGTACGATGTATGGTTTTCTTATAGAGCGGTTTGTTACTCTATGTCCGGTGTATGGTTTTCTCGAAGACCGGCTTGTAACTCTATGTACGATGTATGATTTTCTCGTAGAGCGGTTTGTTACTCTTATGTCCGGTGTATTAGCGTTTAAGTTTTCGAGCCTTAACAGAATTTTTAAGTATCAGTCTGAGGCTGGCGTAGAGATCTTACTTCTGACTTTTGCACCGAAGTGCAATTTCCACATTATAAGTTTGAGTCACAAATCTCTCTACCTCTGCAAGCTCAGATACCAACCGGATATTTTAAGAAACCTCTTGGTCATACTAGACCAGTGGATGCCCAAGGAAGAAGCACGACGACAAGTCATTAATACATTTCTCTCCACAGAATTGAAGTGACAACCGAGAAGCCAGATTTCTGTTCACGACTGTAAAAAGATGCACAGGCTGACCAAGAGAGGTTCAGCTGGGTTGTATAAGACACAGGCTGCCAAACTTGCATGGTACAGTGCCCATTTTTCAGTGCATAAAATTCACGGGGCGCCCCCCCCCCCGAATCCCCCGCCGCCAATCTGCCGCCCCCTTTTCCTTGAAAATATCATCTTCCTCATCGACATCATCATCATCATCACCACCATTATTATCATGTGCCATGGCGATAAGCAAAGGCAGCCACGAATCGCCACCCTACACTACATGTATTGTTCGCATCAAGAGTCTGTTTGCCTGTCTGCAACGCGTTTCTTCTCTCTTCTTTGCGTTCACCAGCTGTAAACTCTGGCGAGTTCGTCCACTTATGGACTGCTGTCTTGTTCCAAAACCTGAGTTTTGCGTGCCCGTCCATTTTACAATGCTGACTCATTTGTATGAAGACTATTGGTTCCTTGAATCACATGCAGATTTGCTCCGATTTTAAACGAAGCTCCCATTTAGTCGTAAACTTCTAAGTCGATTGACTTTTTTTTTTTTTTACATAGAAAAGCTGCAACTACAGAATAACAGCAAAGATAAATACACAAATAAATAGCACAGCAGCTGTGTCAAGTTAAAAACCACAAAGACAATCTAGCCTATCAGTTATGGCCAGCATAGAATGAGCATTACAAATTTGGAACTGAAGTAAAGAGGCCAGCTGGTGCTGACAACAGTATCGAACAAACAATCTGCGAGGACTGGCTGTCATAATTCTGAACTTCCCAAGTTGTCGACAAACACAACGTGTCCCTGGGTTACGTACAATGCCTGCAGAAGGCAAACACAC